GGAAAGAGTTCCTCATATTTTTATAACTTATCTTCTCATTATCCCAAATAATTTGCTATTATACCATATGAGGTAGACTCTCCTTACACTCCTGTCTCAATTGAGGGGAGAAAAATAGATAAGAAATTCATGAAAATAACTAGCTTATGAAAATGCTTGTTTTTAGGGAAGTTGGGATTATTAAAAAATGGCACAGGATTGGGAGTTAAAATATCTGGGAGACAAAAGCTCTTGGCTCAGTTTGACACGAACTCTTTGGCCTCATGCAGGTAACTTCTCATCGAGGTCTTCAGCAACCTTCTCTGTAAAGTGAAGAATTTGAATGATCTTACATTCCTTTCTCTGTCTAAACATTCTCTAACACTGAGTTTATGAGTTTCTTTGGGTTATGGTCAGAACTCTACAGAGTTCAGACAAAGGTAACAAATTTTAAGATAGCAGGAGTTATTTTTGCATGGCCGGTAAGCCTTTTAAAACCCGAGTCTTCAAATTGAGCTAACTTCATAACCCTCTTCTTAAATTTAAATATTGTTTCCTGTCCTTTCTACTTTCTTATGTTTCTCCACCACCTCCCTACACACACACACACACACACACACACACACACACACACCAAAAACCCCAAACAAACAAAAAACCCCGGAAAAAATCCCATCCTCTTGTGTTTTCTTCCTTTTGAATTCTTGAAAGACAGCACATAATCACATGTTTTTCTTTGGCTGCCTCTTGTCACCCCATTTCCACTGTGTGAGCTTTTCTCCAAGTAGGTAGATGCGGGCAGTAAAGATGTAGTTGAGAGAGAAGGCTGCTAGACCCACTGGGCTGAGTTTGGCAAACACAGGATACACCCACGTACCAGTCTCAGAGGAGATCCATAGCACCCTGCTAATGTAAGGAAGGCTGGCAGCAGCCAACAGGGGAGGCCTTTCTTCTTCAATAGATAGCAGTGTGGCCTGAGGATGACTTCAACCAGGGAGAAGGGGAGTTGAACGTGTGCATGGCATGATTGAGCCACACTGGAAAGATATCATCTAGGGCTGTAGGGTAAATGAGTTCTCCATCGTAGAGAAAGAGGATCCAGAAGGACAAAAATACAAATGTGGATGCAGGAAAAGCCAGTGCGGTGAAAAGCAGGTCTCTGAAGGCAGTTATTAACTTAATGTCTTTTTTCCCTTTAATTCTCTTCAGCACATCTTCCATGCAGGCGACCCCATAGAAAATGGCCTGCAAGAACAGTTTAAGGGCCGAAACCGGTTTGGCTCAGTGGATAGAGCGTCGGCCTGAGGACTGAGAGGTCTCAGGTTCGATTCCGGTCAAGGGCATGTACCTTGGTTGCGGGCACATCCCCAGTGGGGAGTGTGCAGGAGGCAGCTGGTCGATGTTTCTCTCTCATCGATGTTTCTAACTCTCTATCTCTCTCCTTTCCTCTCTGTAAAAAAAACTCAATAAAATATATTAAAAAAAAAGAACAGATTAAGGAATGTCAAGTTCTTCTACTGTCCACCATTTAGAAAGATTTTGGACATCTGCTTATTCCTTCCTTTCTGTGAGATGTGATAATTGAGGAAAATATACCAGGTCAAGACAAGGACGTGGTATGCACATGTGGAAGTCCTCGTCATGGCTCACTCTGACCAGGACACTGTGAACGTCTGAAGTGGCTTTGGTCTGGCGTCCTTGTGCCGGGTAAGGGCTGAAGTCCTGCAGCAGGCAGGGGGGCGGCGAGACAAGGAGCCCTTGGTTCTTATCTTCTTGAGGGAAAGATTTCAATCAAGAGACAAAGTGTTGAAAAGCAACCAAGAATTTATTGACCACAGCAAAAGTATATTTAGGACAGCAAGACAAGGAAGGACATGGAAGAAGCAATAGGAGAGCCTAGGCTGGACTGCCTTAGCTCACTGGGAAGTAGAGAATGGGGGCCTTGGAGACAGGTCCAAGGGGTTAGCCCTGGACAAGATGCTGCTGCCCATTGCTCCCTTGGTTGCAAGTCTCATAGAGTCCCTTAGAGGTTAGGGGATGCATGCCTGTGGGAGAAGGAGAGAGGGAAGGGAATGGCACTGGAGTGTTCCCTGGAGAGGGAGAGATAAAGAGAGAGAGAGGACCCATTTTTGCCTTTTAAATGGAAAGGTAAAAACTGTGAATAAATAGCAAAAAGGTTTCTTTTGTTCTTATGAAAGAACTCTGTAAAAACTGGAAGCTGACACAGGTTCAAGTTCTTAAGACCCGAGCTGTGAAGATGTGGATGTGACTGAGACACATTGTGCCATATTAAGGTAAAATAACTCTCATAAGGAGGGGAGGGAGAGTGGAAAGTTAAGTTGTTCCTTTTGTATCTCACCTTTATTCTTTAGCATTATTTCACCAGTGAGGCTAAAAATTTACAAATTGCTATAATGCAGTGGTTTTTTTTCTTTTACATTTAAATTTATTTATTTATTTTAGCAAAACCAGAAATATATCATTGGGAAAGTGTATCAAATGACTAACCCAAGAAAGAGCCTCTTTTATTTTTTAAATTGAGATACAATTATCAAATAACATTGTTAGTTTCAGGTCTACCACACAATGATCCAATGTATACATATATTGTGAAATGATAACTACAATAACTAGCTAACATCCATCATCATACATAGTTACAAATTTTTTTCTTGTGATGAGAACTTCCAAGATTTACTTTCTTAGCAACTTTAAAATATGCAATACAACATTTTTAAGGACTTTTAACTCATATTTAATTACAATATACTTGTAATGATGACACCTCACTCTCTAAACATTTCTGTTACTCAACATAGGAGAACTATTTGTAGGTACTAAATTCTATAGGTGGGAAAATCAGTATGACTAAAATGATTATTAAAATTCTACTTCTAGATGTTCAAACCACACTCCAGCAATGACATAGTACAGAACAATGATGAATTATTAATCACAGTCTTTCAGTTAGTTCATTGATTTGAATGTGGTAAAAGTTGAAGGTTGAAGTTGAAGGTTGACCGACTAGCTCTGAATAGAGCAATCCCCCTGAGTCCCAAGATTCTCCAGTGGACCCCATTCAGTTGCCTTCATCTGACTCCTCCAGAGACGAGGTGCTGGTAAAGTTCTCATGCAATACTGTATTATTTACTACTAGAGGCCCGATGCACGAAATTCATGCAAGAGTAGGCCTTCCTTCCCCTGGCTGCTGGCACTGGCTTCCCTCCAGCACTTAGGACCCGGGCTTCCCTCGCAGCCCCAGCTTCATCGGAAGGCTGTCTGGAAAGACGTCCAGTCTAACTAGCATATTACATTTTTATTATTATAGATTATTATAGTAGACTAGTGGCCTGGTGCATGAAATTTGTGTGTGTGTGTGTGGGGGGGGTTTGTCCTTCAGCCCAGCCTGCACCCTCTTCAATCTGGGACCCCTCGGGGGATGCCCGACTGCCAGTTTAGGCCCGATCCCTGCCTGCCTGACTGATCACCCCCAATTGCCTCCCTCTGCTGGCCTGATCGCCCCCAACTGCCCTCCCTTCCTGACCTGATCGCCCCTAACCGCCTCTGCCTCAGCCCCATCACCATGGCTTTGTCTGAAAGGACGTCCAGAAGGTCTCCCAGTCTAATTAGCATATTATGCTTTTATTAGTATAGATAGCCACCATGCAGTCATTACATCCCAGGACTTATTTATTTTATAACTGGAAGTTTGTACCTTTTGACCCCCTTTATTTATGTTAGTCATGCCCTTCCCTCACCTCTGATAACCTGTATCAGTGGTCTAATTTTTGTCGTGTTTTTTTCAGATTTAAGATATAGGTGAGATCATATGGTAATTGCCTTCCTTTGTCTAACTTACTTCACCTGCATAACATCTTCAAAGTCCATCTAGGTTGTCCCAAATGGCAATATTTCTCTTTTTCTATGGCTGAATACTATTCCATTGCCTATACATGCCATATTTTCTTTATCTATTAACCCACTGATGGACACTTAGCTTGTTTCTATGTCTTGGCTGTTGTAAATAATGCTGCAATGAACATTGTGGGCCCAGATATCTTTTTAACTTAGTGTTTTCCTTTCCTTTGGATAAATACCCAGAAGTGAAATTGCTGGGCCATATCAGTAATATTTTGTTTGACTGAAGTTTGACTTTTGTTATTCTTTTAGGACATCAACTATATTTCCTGAGTTATTACATATTTGAAATGTTTGTCTGTTGCCTTTGTAGCTGAATAATACATTAGCTAAGTGCAAAATTCTTAAGTATTTTAGTTTGTCAGCTTTGCAAGCATTGTTCCACTGGCTTCTAGCGTTGAATGTTTTTGTTGTTGTTTGTTTTTTGGTGTGTTTTGTTTTTGTAAATATTTTTTTAATGATTTCAGAGAAGAAGGGAGAGGGAGAGAGAGAGAGAAACATAAATGATGAGAGAGAATCATTGATTAGCTGCCTCCTGCATACCCTCTACTGAGGATTGAGCCCACCAACCCAGGCATATGTTCTTGACTGGAATCAAACCAGGGACCCTTCACTTCTCGGGCCAATGCTCTATCCACTGAGCCAAACCAGTTAGGGCTTAATGTTGTTTTTGATTAATTTAAGTCAGTGGTTCTGAACCTTGGCTGCACATTAGAATCATTTCTGGAGAATGAGGCCCAGAAATCAGGATTTTAAAAAAAGATTCCCAAGTGATTCTAATGTTCAGCCAAGGTTGAGAACCACTGATTTAAGTCAATCTAAGTTTTTCTCTTGTAAGTGACTTAAGCCTTTTTTGCTTAAATGCTTAAAGGATTATTTCTTTATCTTTAAAAAACCAGTGATTTTCCAAGTGATGCCTTGATGCTGGCTATTTTGTGTCAGATTTCCTGGTAGTGCATAATAACATGGACTTCAAACATGTAAAAGAAATGGTCTAAATAACAAGTTGAAAAATCCACAATTGTGTGAATTATGACATGGATTCAGTGTATTAGAAAGGTCAGACAAGGGGAATAACGGGCTGAGAGGCAGAGCTTGCAGGCTTAATCATCACACTAGCTTCTCTGTCCACACAGCCCAAGGCAGAAGCATTCAGGTGGGGCAGATGAAGGAGAGGAGGGAGTCCACCTCGTTTTGGACAATAAGCCGCACTGGGTGGATGCTGTCAGGCAGGGCCAGGCTGGAGGTCATTTCCCAGGCATCCACAAAGGCCACACGGAGGTCAGCAAAGGCAGCTCGGAGGAGCCGGTTCACCTGGAGGGTGAACCAGTCACTGCCATACACGGACTTGTAGCCAGTGTTGGCCAGTTTGATGACCACCAGAGTGTGGGGCTCCCGGGCCAGCAGCGCAGCCACAGCTGCCCGGATGCCTGCCAGTCGCTGCACAAAGACGGATGGAGGGAAGGTGGTGAAGTGTGCGCCCAGCCCCAGCACCACCACGGTGTGGGGGCCCCCAGCCAGGCCTCCCAGCTCCTGGACCACAGAGTGCAGGGAGGCCACTGGTGTGCGGAGGGAGCGCAGGGGCCAGCCGTGGGCCCGCCAGTGCAGCACTATGTTCCGAGTGGTCTCTACAGCCATCAGGGGCCCTGTCTGATATGTGACGTGTAGATCCACCGGCTTCAGGGCTGTAGGGAGGACAAGAGAAAAGGCTTAGGGGTTAATATAGGACTGTATTTCCTGGTTTAAAAATCTAGCACCATTTTCCTCTATCATTCTATGGCCCAACCACTGATTTTGCTCTCCTTAATCTAGAATATTATCAGTGACCACCTAGTTCCCAAGTCTGAAGACCCAGTTCTCAGTCCTTCATCTCCCTGGCTCCTTGAGCATTTTGTCTTATTGATTTTCCTTTGGAATCCCTTCCCTTTCTTAGCAGTGTGTTGTCACTCTCTACAGGCTCCTTGCAGATCTAACACTCCAACTCAGATTCATTCACTGGTTCCACCCCTGTATAAAGACTCGAGTCAGGCTAGAGATTCAGGGTTGCCCAGTTTATGTCTTTGCACAATGGTGGCCAGCCTAGGGGGCCTGCGACTCCTGAAATACAGTCTGTCTGCTTGGTCATGTGCCCTGGCAGAGAGCTATACACACCTACAGGAAAAGGCCCTTACTTTCTTTGCACGAAGTCTCTACCTGCTCGCCCCACCGTGTGCTCCATGGCTGTGTGGGCACAGAGGGGCACCTTTCTCTAGTCCACAGAAAGGTGCCAGATCAACTAGCACAGTCTCTGGTTTTCCCAGCCTCTGTCATGAGCTTCCATTCATCTTTAAAAACAGCTTTTGGCTAGAGAACTCACCCACTCCACCCGGCCATGAGCAGAATTGTCCCAAAATGATCCTGGGAAGTCACTCAACGTTGATGAGACATCGAATCAGTTGGGAGTAGAGCTCCCTTTTTTCCTGAAGGGAGGGGCTGCATCCAGGCTCACCCTCCTGGGCGGTGGGAGCTTCAACCCTTCAAGCAGGAGTCAACGTCCCACAGGCCTCAAGGTCTCCAGGGGGAGGCAGCAGGTGTTTTCTAACTTCTGTGAGCAAATGGCAACCCACATGTATCTTGTACCAAGAAGGTTGTGGGTAAGAAGGAAGAACTATGGCATGTGTGTATGTGTGGGGGCGGGGAGGTGGTCTTCTCCATTAGAGCATAGGCCCACCCTGTGGGCCCCACGCACCTCTCTGTAGGATGGTGGGAGGACAAGTGGGGGACGGGGCTGGGAGCTGATGCTCTTTCTCTCCCTGACTCTCAGGTTGCCCCTTTCTCCAATAAAGCATATCCCTTAATTCCTGTTATGTTATATTGTGGAGCTTGTGCCTGAAAGGCAGAGACCCTGTGTGACACTCTCACCTCCTTGAACATCTATCTTCAGAGGAATAAATACCAAAGTCTGTCCGAAGCTCAGACATCTAAATGCATTTCCAATCCCATGTCTTCAAATGCCTCATCCACATGCTCCACAGACACCCCTCGCCTCCACCTTTTTAATCCAGTATGAAAAGGTATGAAATAAATATGTCATCTTCTCTCACTCTTGTCTCTTGCTCCCATATCTAGTAAGCGTGCCAGTGACTTTTATTCTGAGTTCATTTTATGGTTATCCATAGTGATCTGATCACCTCCCTTCATTGCAGAGCCAATCCGTTAACAAGACTGTGAATTTTTCCAGCATATTACTTCCTTTACTGCTGTTACTCTATTTCTTGTACCAGTTTAGCCTCTCTTCACCTCACATGTTGACCATGCAATTATCTTATGACTTGTCTTTGATCTTTCTTTTTCAATCCAGTCTATCCAACAAACCAAAAACTGCTTAAAAACAGTTGGTGTCTCCCAAATGTCACAAGACAAAACCCCTGTTTTCTCTACAATTATTTTCTTAAATTGCAGCTCTATTCCTCCAGTATCCCCCAAGCAACTAAGTAGTTCTGGCCAAGGCTATCTATTCATGGTTCATCAAACATATCTACTCTCCTGTTAGAGCTTCTGATTAATTATTGAGATTATGCATAATCTGGGCATTGTTTCCCATCCCTTCCTTAAGGGAATCCGGTGTCCTGTCCTTTTATGTCACTCTCCTGAATCCAGGTAGATGCTTTATGCCTTCTCAAAGCCCTGGTTCTGCTCCTTTTCTCTTAGGAGTTGTGCCCTCTCCCCTCACGGCCACTCACAGGGCACAGTGTCACACAGATACTCCCACCACTGCCGCAGCGTGGAGTCCCCCATCATGTGGATGATGTGACCAGCCAGGCAGCCCAGGATGCTGTCAACAGTGGAGAAGGAGCGGCCAGAGCAGGAAAGAGAGTGCCACACCCCTCGGTGGAAGAAGCCAGAAGGCTTTGGGCCCGGGATCCCCGGATGGCACAGTTGTCTGGGGGACGGCACTGTAAGCAATTGTTTGTAAGCAAAACAATCAGTGGATTCAGAAGAAAACTAAAGCTACAGGCACGGGGTAAGTGCTGCCTTTTCTGTAGGCCGCGGTGTTACTTACCCAGGCTCCTATCGCTCTCCTTGGCCACCCAAATTGGAGAAATACCCCGAGGGAGGACCTTGTCTGTCACATTCCTGAAGAGAAACCAATTGGTAAGAAAGGAATCCTTAATGGAAATGTGTTATAGGAAGGAATTTTGGGCTAAGGTGAAATGGGGGTTCTTGGGGAAAAGGAAGTTCTCAAAGTCAAGGGCATCTGTCCAGAGTCAGGGCTTCTGGGAAACAGTGAGGGCTCTAGGACTAGAGAGGGGCTAGAAACTAGAGTTCAGGGATCCACGCTTTTTGAATTTCCTGGCCCCAGGATTTCATCAGTGTAGAAAGCAGATGTTTTAAAATGTACCTAGGAGTCTGGTGTGACTCAGTAATTGAGCATTGACCTATGAACCAGGAGATCATGGTTCTATTCCAGTCAGGGCACATGCCCAAGTCCTGGCTCTATCCCTAGTAGGGAGCATGCAGGAGGCAGCTAATCAATGATTCTTTTTCATCATTGACATTTCTCTTTCTCCCTTCCTCTCTGAATCAATAAAAAAAATATTTTTAAAAAATGTACCTAGTATTTTGGTTTTATTTAGATATGGTAAGGTTAATAGATCAGGAGATGATCACCATGGAAAAAATAGTGGTACAGTCCTGAGATGTGGGGACATGATGCACCATGCAGGGTCACATGGAGGAAGCACCAGGGTTGGTCAAGAGGCATAAGGAGCAGGAGAAAATGTGGGCAAAAGTCTTTATTGTGTTTTTTTTTTTTGCAGGAAGGAATGGGTGAGGAAAGGTTAACAGCTGAGTAGGTTTAGGAATGAATAGTTTGAGTAATTTCAGTGGGCTCTGGGCTATAGGGGTAATCTCTAGTTGTCTGGTACTTGGCCCTGAGGGATTTCAGGCAGGGAGATGGTGTCTGGCTGCCAGAGCCTGATAAAAGAAAGAGGATTGGTGGTGGTGTGGACTCAGGAGGGGTGGGTTGCATATCAAAGGTGTGCTCAAGACAAGTTGTTTGATATCTCTAGGAGTCAGCTAATCCTGGAGGGCCAGTCACACAAGGCCCAAGATGTCAAAGCATCACAAAATATAGATCCTTAAAAACATGACTTATAGGAGAAGGTGACTGGGGCATTTGACAAGAAGTCTTAACTCTCCTGTTGGTCTCACTGAACTCACTCCAGTTGGGCTTTCACTCTCACACTCACTCTCAGAAATGGCAAAATTCATTATCAGTTCTCAGCTCTTGTCATTCCTGACCTTTGTCAGCCCAGCAGTAGCTCCCTCCTCCTTGAGGCTTGTTTTCCTCTTGGTTGTCAGGACACCTCTCTCTCCTGGCAGCCCCTTTTGCTAGCCCCCTTCTCCTCAACCGCACTCCTCTATTGCAATCACATTCCCTCCCTTGGTGGTCTCACTCCACTTCCTGACTTTAACTTTCACATTTAGATCTCCAGCACAGTTTCTCTGTCAAATCCAGGTTTGTGTATCTGCCCATCTGCCCAATGTCTCCACTTGATGTCTGACACCTGTGACCACCTGCCTCACCCAGCGTTTTCCCCACTTCAGCAGATGGCAACTCTGTCATTCCAGGTGCGCAGGCCCCAAAGCCTGTAGCCATCTGAGAGTTCGCACTTTTTAGTACATCCCACGTCGTATCTCTCAGGAAATCCTATGGGTGCTGCCTTCAGAATACATCTAGAAGTGAATCACTTTAGACCTCTCCCCCACTGCAACCTGAGGTCAAGGCCTCCTATCTTTTGTTCTCCCTGCTTCTCCCTTAACCTTCTGCAATCCATTCTCAACACGGTGGCCCAAGACATGCTTTAAAAATGTAAATCCCATCAAGTCCATCTTCTGCTCAAAAGCCTGCAGTGATCCCTTTCACCTTATACAGCAAAACCTAACATATTTAGAGAGCCCTTCCTTAATTATGCCACGTCCTTCCCGTAATCTCGCTGGTCTTTTCACCCACCACCTCCCTATTCTTTTTTGTTTTTAATGTATTTTTATTGATTTCAGAGAGGAAGGGAGAGGGAGAGAGAGATAGAAACATCAGTGATGAGAGAGAATCACCGATTGGCTGTTTCCTGAATGCCCACAATAGGGATCGAGCCTGCAATCCTGGCATGTTTGGGGTTGCACATGACTGGGAATCAAACCGTGCCCTCTTGGTTCATAGGTCAATGCTCAACCACTGAGTCACGCCAGCTGGGTCCACCTCCCTATTCTTTACTCCATCTACCTGTCTGTCTTCCTTAATGTTCCTCAGACACTACTAGTCATACTACTGCACACCCTCTGCCTGGAACCCTCTTCTTCCAAGTATATCCTTGGGCAAATCCCCTTGAGTCTTTGCTCAGGTGTCTTCTTCTTTTTTTCTTTCCTTTTTTTTGGTAATCCTCACCTGAGGATATTTTTTTCATTAATTTAAAATATTGTTTTAAATATTGTTTAAAATATTACACATAGTAATACATATATCTTGTTTAAAATTGTTTAAAATATTACACATAGTAATACATATATCTTCTTCCCCCCTATTGACCTTCCCCAGTCTCCCCTTTTTTTTCATTAATATTTAGAGAGAGTGAAGAGAGGGAGAGAGGGGGGAGAGAGAGAGAAACATTGATGTGAGAGAGATATATTGATTGGTTGCTTCCCACATGTGCCCCATCCGGGGCTAGGGATGGAACTTGCAACCCAGGTACATCCTAGGTACATGGCCTTGACCTGAAATCAAACCCGAGACCCTTTAGTGTCCGAGCCGACACTCTATCCTCTGAGTAACACCGTCCAGGGCAGATGTCATCTTCTTAATGAGGTCTACCCTGATCCCCCTATTTAACATTGCAACCTGCCCTGGACATACTCCTAATCCTCACTCACCTCCTCCATATTTAAAATTTCCTATAGTACGGATCTTCTTCTAACATTCTATGTAATGTACTTATTGTTATGTTTATTGTTTATCATCTCTTTCTTCGGTCATATGTAAGCTTTACCAGGGCAGGGTCCTTGTCTGTTTGTTCACTGCTGCTTTCCCAGTGTCTGCAGCAGACCCATAATCATAATGGGTGTGCAGTCAGCATTTGCTAAAAGAAGGGATGGACTGATTGAAGAGGTTGTGTCATAGAGGAGAGGGAATTTACTTTCAGAGAGGAGGAGGAGGAGTGCAAGAAAATATTCCTGGAATTTTGAAAGATGTGCAAGCATGGCTTATCCTAAGAATGTTAGGGCCCTGGTGGCCCATAGAGGTATAAAATTTCAGGAAGCAGTTGTGGGATTATTTCAGGGGCTCTGGACCCAGTTGGCGATGCCTGTCCTAGCAGAGCTCAAGACCATACAGGCTTGGACAATGGACACTTTGAAGTGACCAGTGTGGACAGTTGACTAAAGAAGGAAAGATCCCCCATGGTCAAGTGTCAGTTCCTTGGCAGGGCCCTAGACAAGGAGAACACTCCTCACCTGCCCTGTTGCAGCGGTCCTCAAGATTCTACTAAAGTTGATGTGAAGAAAACACTTGAGCTTGGGTTGCAAATTCATGCCCACTACACATTTGTCGCATGTGTGATTATCTGTTTAATGCCTGTATTCCATCAGTACACTGTTAGCTCCTGCAGGATGAGGCCATCCTGCCCTGTTCTCCTCTCCCCAGCACCTCGAGGACTTTGGATGGTATCTAGCACAGAGTTGGGGGTAAGACTCAAGAGACGCAAACATCTGAAATCAGATGATAAAAGTTCCAATCCCTTTACACACATTAATTTATTAGTTTCTTCCACAAGTCTATGACAGTGGTATTATTATTATCCCCTTTACAAATTAGAGAACAGAGGTACAGAGAGGATAAGTAACTTGCTAGAGATCACATGAATACAAGCTGGCAAACAGGGACAGTTGGAGAAGGGATTCAAACCTCACAGTCTCACTCCGGAGACTCTTGGGTTTTCCTCCAAGCGACATCCTGAGACTAGGATGTCAGTATTGAATCTTAGATTTATTTCCAGTTGACGAATGCAAATGAGATAGGTGGTGCTCCCTTTCTGACCAAAAGGAGCATGAAAATTGGTCCTGGTGCTAAATTTTTAAGTTAGGAGGTAACCGTTAGTGGGAATTCTCCAGACAAGAAGAGTGGCCGAGAGCCTCCAGAGATGGGTGTCTGGTGGAACTGGCACCTCGGGTGTCTCCAGATCAGCTTGCCTTGGTGCTTTATCCTCATAGCAGCAGTGATAGCTCCCATGCTCTTTGGGGTCACAGAGCACCAGACACCTCACCTGTCAGTCCTCCCACCTAAAACATCTCTGCCTCTGGAAGAGTTTAGCCTCTTCTCTTTTTTCCTCTCAGAGGGGGTGTCCCTCCACTTCTTCTCTTCCCCATCCCACCCCCACCCCCAGCCATCTTCTGGGACCCTGTTTTTGCTTCCTTATCCTACTGTTTCTCTACTGGAGACCAGATGCCTGGGTCTCCCATTTTAAAAAATGCTTCCCTCATCCCTGGGGTCTCTCCAGCACCAGCCCTGCCTCCAATCTCAAGGCCAGAAGGACTCACTGTGAGCAAGTCTGTTTTCATGGTCTCCTCTCCCTCAATCCCATTCTCTGTCCACCCAGGAGGCTTGCTCCCTGAGACTGAGGACAATTCTCAGCCTCGTTTGCTTGGCTTACAGGCTGCAGCCTCTGTTTCTGTCTCACTCAGTGAAATCATATCCATCCTCTCTACTCTCTGACCATACATGCCGGTGACTTCTAAATCTACATCTCTCCTTGCAGGGGCCATCAGTAGGGGGGAGGGGATTAGGACACTTCTCCTTTGCCAGGGGTCTGTGGTTCTTCCTTAAGTTTCAGCTAAATTGTCACCTGCCCTTACCATCATAGACCAGATGGGGTGCCCTTTCTCCATGTCTTCAAACCACGCAGTGCATACAGTTAAGCACCTATTACACTTCATGTTTTAAAAAGGCATGCATCTCTTCATTGAAAATGTGTAGAAGGCAGGGAAGCTGATGATTATGCATAAGTAGTCAGCACTTGGCATGGGCATATACTAGGTGCTCAGGAGGTGTACATAGTAGGAGTGAATAGAGAATGATAAGGGCAGGGACTCAGGCAGAAGACTCGTAGGGACCAGGATTTAGGAGTTGGGGCAGTTTCCAAGAATGCTGGGTTTCTTACCACAGCAGCAGGGCCTCCTCTTGTGGTGTGGTCACATTCCAGTAACGTCCACTTGAATGTCCCACCAGTGAGTCGCAGGGCAGGGTGGGTGGTCGAGCGCAGAACCAGAGCTCCCCCGAATCTTCATCCCTATAGTGACAGGTAGACTCTTCCTCTCCAGTTAACAGGGGGTTAATATTGCAAGTCACAGTTTCTTCATATCCTGTGAGTCCCCGAAAATAGCCCATGAAATCGACTGTGGCCCATTGGTCCCTCCAGATTCTTCGAAGAACCCCAACTGCCTCACTGGAATGGATCAGTCGAACTTGCACCTGGGCCTGCCCAGCTGAAAGAAGGGGGAAGGACAGCAGGTATGTGCCGTTCTCCAGATCCTGGACATCCCCAGGGACCCCTGCCTTCAAGTCAGGACCCAGCAGCTGTGCCCGAAACAGATCCCCACCATGGGTCTTGGGTCTGCCCTATGGTCTCTGGCCACAAGGATGGCCTCCAGGTAGCCTCCCAGGGCATAGCTGGCCTGCGCAGGAACCCTCAGGCGGTAGGTGGAGGTCTCAGGGCTGGTGGAGGTCAAAAGGTCCCCCCCATCTCCTGGAGTCAGAGGCCAGTGCAGAAGGTGGGTCAGGTCCGAGAGCTCCGGGGGGAGAGAGCCAGAGGATTTGCGGGCAGGGCGAGGCCTTGGGGACAGAGGAACAGCACTATCAGGCCAGGAAACCCTGGTATACAAGATCTGTGGGGAGAAAAAGAGGAACCAGTCAGTGATTTTTGCCTCTTCATATTTTTTCTGTAAAGAAGTTTTCAATTCACCAAACTTAGTTCTCCTCTGCTTGGTGGGTCTCAGACAGGAATCCTATCTGCCTTCCTTTTTGCTGCTTCTGACCCAAAGCTGTTGTCTGAGCCACCACCATACACATCTGCAAATACGATCTCATGTTTAAAACCATATTTCTGTGAGTTTTGCTAAATCCCAGAGAATAAATAACATCTCTGTCTGCTGGTCCCTACTGGCTTCTGCTGACCACCTGCTTACCTCTGACACACATTCCACTGCCACCAGAGGGGGTCCAGGCTTGGACCCACCCCCACCCCTCATTTCTAGCCCTCCCCACTCCTTACAAGTCCATCTTCTCTCTGGACTCCAAAACCAGAGTAAATCCACCTTCCCCTTCTATTTCTCTTTCCACACCCCTGTCTCTACCAGACATGTCCAACCTGGACTTAGAAGGAGGAACAGTTGATGGAGTGGATATGAGGGGTCCTGAGGCACAAAGGTGAGCCATGTGCAGAACGAATGGGGTTTGGGGGAGGGAGTAGGCTGGGCTCCAGTTCTCTTCAGCCCCCAACAAAAATCCAAGTCCCAGGTAAGCACAAACCTAAGTTGGCCTTGTTTCACAGGAAACACCCATATGGCTCAAAATCATAGTACAAGTGCTTAGCAATTCCTCCCAGGGAAGGAAGTGAATCCAGTTAGAAGGCCCATCAGCATTTGGTGGTCTCTAGCATTTATCTACCCTGCGTCTGATTTATTTTCTGACTACAACTTAGCATCAAGGATCTTGACCCTCTTTCTCAAAGTTCCCTCACAGCATAGACATAAGTTATATAAACACACTCCTGGCCATTTGATATTACCAGGTCTCACACAGGTCAGGGCACTAGGGATGCCCAAACACCTCTCCTTACATTTCTCCTGGATAAAATCAACATAAATAGGAAAAAAATATTTTGGAAGTACATCTGGAAGGGAGAACTGGTACAGAGGGGAAGAGGCAGAAGGAGAAATTTCCTTCATGCAAAGTATTGAGACCTATCCTAGAGGCCCTTAATTAAGTCCCTGGAATTTGAATTTTTCTGTGTCATATCACAGGAGTTGCTGGTGCAGTTTGTGACCGAGAACTGGGGTGGCCACTGTCTGACCAGAGACCAATGTACCATGCGGTCAAGAGACATATGCAATTGGGGAATGAGACATGATATGATGGAGAACCACAAGAGGCCACCGATGACTCTGGGAGTGGCTTGGGATTAAGCCCTTTATCCACAGGACCTATTGGAGCCACCACCCCTTCTTCAAGCCAATGAGATGGTCAGCAACTGTGATCAAGAAGCAATGTCCACTTCACGCAGGTTAGTGATAGGAAGGAACCTGTTTACTTTTCAGTCTCTTGGTTTTTCTTCCCAATATCGAAGGGAAAATAGAGGGAAGAAGAGTGAGAAAGGTATGTGTGAACAGAGCATGCCTCTCTCTCCAACTCAAATCAGCGGGAGCCTTAGCTGAACTTGGCAAGAGGGGAGGAGGGAGAAGGGAAGGAGCTTTCAATAGGACATAAGGTTGAAGTTGCAAATGAATAGCACTGAGTCTTAGACAAACAAACTCGACTGATATAAGAACTGAAATTGACTTAAAATGTATGGAATTAGACTGAGATGTGGTTAAGGAAGCTCAAGGGAAGGATAGCATTTAACAGACAGTTGATGGCAACAATGGGGAGAACTAAAGTTATTTCAAGTTTATACTCCAACTAGGTCCTCCCTAAACTGGTTGCATGTTCTTTAGTAAGTACCGGCTTCTGGTCCCTGCAGGCACATCGTGGTTTATAGCAACTGTCTTGAAGCTATATTTTAACTGCTTGGGCTTCAACAAGCAAAAACTGGGCATCTGCTCTTGACTTTGATCTAACGATCTGTTCCTAAAACTAGAGTTAGATTACCAAGACAAGAGAGCATGGGGTTTGTTTGTGTTGTATTCCAAAGTATATCACTTCTACCCTAGGTCAGGTTGAGGGGGCTCATCTCTCCAGGGGTAGATAAGAGTTGGTTAAAAAAAAAAGGGGAATGCAAAGAAAAAGGTGACATATAAAGGCCATAATGAAGGAGAGGAAAATGGACTAATTTAAAAAGCATGTTAAAATATTAAAAGCATAGTTGAAACCTTCTGAAGTGACTAGCGAACAATGGAGAGAAATATCATGCCAGAAACAAACCCTCTTCTACAAAGAATGATGTGACACTGAAATATTTTTGCCGATATTGAGTAACACAGGTTACTCAAATACTGAAAAATGCAAAAATAGGAGAAAGGCAAATGTGTTAGGTAGGAATTGCTTTTGGCTGGTAGTAACAGACACTATCTTCAGTGGCATAAACAAAGGAAGGTTTATTTTTCTCACAATAACTGTCTGGAAATAGACAATTGGTGGCCTTAGTTCAGTGTCTTAAGGATGTAAGGGCAAGGTCTTTGTGATTTGACAGTTTTCTCCTGGTCCCAAGAAAGCTGCTGGAGCGCCAGCCATCATGTTTACTTTGGGATTTAAAAGTCCTACACTATTACTTTTATTTATGTTTCATTGACCACTCTTGCCTGTAGTGGAGTCTGGACATACAATCTTCCCCCTTTTCCTTACTGGGCACAGGTTTGGGTTAGTAGGGAAGAATAGGAGAATATTTCTAGAATGAGGCAAAAGCTTCAGAGCCACCAGATGTAGTTCAGGAATCTGCTGAAGATGAAACCAACATGGGCTGAGAGAGTAACTACCTCCCTGGAGGAATGTTTCATGGGACAAAGCGATTTCCATGCAAGAAGCAGTGGCCATAGCCTTTGCACAGACCACAGAAGACAAAGATATGGTGATGGATTTTGGTCCATCGTGCCACTTGCAGAACCCACAGTGTATGCAGCAATTGGATATCAGGACCATGGAACTTAGTGGGGAACAGGAAATTAAGAAGTTTTAAACATACATGATGGGGGAAGATGGGCCCTTCAAATAAGAGCTGATGCTGAGGGTCTTGTTACTGCACATTTTCACATGCTTTTTGAATTTGTTATTGCAGATTTTCACATTTTTCAAAAGGAAAGAAACAGCCCACACCGCTTCCTCTGCAAGAGGAAGCGACATGCAGAGGTGGATGTCCCCTGCTGCTGTTGTGCGCACAGGACACCATCCATCACTCTCAGTGGGAGAAGTTTCCCAATACAATTTAAGCTCATAAGTTGTTCTATGCAGAGCAACTAATAGCCTGGTGGGGCTAAAACCAAGAAACTGTTCTCTTCTTTGCCTATTGACTTATCTTCAGATACCTCTGAAGCTCAGCTTTGGTCTTTGGCAAAACCAGAGGTTGGAGTATATTACGCACAGGGCTCTGGGAACTTTGTTTTCTGGTTTGCTGCTCAGAAGAGGGGGAATTTACCATCATTTTCTAAATCAAGCGGGTGTGAGTCTTGTGTGGTGATAATATAAGAGTCCCATTGACATGGAGGCCCTTGTTGCTTCTTTTCTCTCTTCCCCCATCTCTGAACTCGCAGGACCTGCATATGTGAGACACTGATTCTGCATATGTGTGTCTTTTGTGCAGATCCAGCTCTCCTAAAGGCAGGTTTCCAAATGTCTAGATTTGGGGAGAGTGTTTCTGACTGACACTGTTGGTTGCCTATCCAACATCCCATTTTTATTTGGGGTAGAATAAAGCTAAATGTGATACCTTATCATCATGCAATACATTATTATTGGTCCAAGCCAATAATGACGTTCACATTCCACATTTTTTCAATTTTCTCGAGAGTTTCCCAGTTCTGGTTAGTAAGATATGAGGAGAGATCTGAGGAGAGGTATCAGAGACAGCTTCCACTCACCTAATAAAAGGGACCAGCTTGCTGCCCTATTTTATTTCCACCTGGGATGTGGATTCAGTGCCTGGAGATGCATCAAACATCTTGCAATAAGAAAGGAAAGGCCATTTCAAACCTTGTTTGTCTTCCACTCCCCACATAATTCTGGTGCTGAGTGTCACAGGAAACACTCAAATCATGATAGGACCTCTGGCTCTTTCTTTGTGTCATGATGCTGAGTTGGCACAGGGTGGGATAGGAGTGTTCTTGGAAGCCATTCCTATTCCAAGACATTTAGCTATAACTTAACTATATGCAGGAATGACGGAAAATCACATTAAATAAAAACTAAATGTTCCTCAATTCAAACTTACTTTAATGGGCTCTGAAAAAAAGAAAAGAGAGCCTCTGACCACTCCAACATCACCTGACATGAAGGAAGCTGTAATAGAAAGATAATGACCTTACCAAGTTGAGATTAAAATATTTTACTACGTAAATTTTACAAAAACACATGACGTGCTAGCATCCTTCCCAAGGTCTTGGAAGAGATCTGTATAAATGAAAGACTCTGAAACTTGGCTTCCTGGCAAATATACCTCAGGTTATGACTATTGCAAAGCCAACTCTGCCCCCAGTCGACTGCAATATGAGATACCATAATTTATAAGACACATCTCAATTTCAGAAATGTTCAAGTATGAAAAAATAAACATCTTAGAATTGACAAAATGTGGTATTTGCAACATATATAATAGACAAAGGATTAAGCCCAGAAAACAGGAGGAATGAACACAAATCAACATGAAAAATATAAATAATTCAATACAAAAATGGGCAAAGTATATAAACTGGCAATCTATACTACACTGAGTGGCCAGATTATTATGACCACCTAACATTTGTAGTCAAATTAGCCATACACTGCATGGTATGGGATGTGGAAGCTGAAGGCCTGTTCGAACACCTTTGCTGTCTGCAGTTACCAAAATAAAACATCTCCAATTTGCACAGGCACACACGTTGATCTCCTGGTTCATAGGTCAATGCTTAACCACTAAGCTATGCCAGATGGCCTAAAAAGGCAATTTATAGAAGGGAAACTTTAAAAAGAAAATAAATGTCAGAAAAAAATGCTCAACTAATTTAGTTATATAAGCTAGGAATGGTTTAGCTGCCAATTACAGAAAACCCAACACATAATGGCTTAAGAATGATGATCTTATTTTTCTCACATAACACCATGTCCAGAAGTAGGACATCGAGGGATGGTTAGTGGCTCAACAACGTCATTCACAATCCAGACTATCTACTATCTTTATCATGTTACCTGTTGCCCATAGTGCAAGATGGTTGTACCTCCAGTGCTCATGTTCATGTACCAGCAAGAACATACGGAATGACAAATTGTGCTTGGTGAATTTTCCCCTTTTAATTAGGGGGGGAAACCACACATTTCTCCAAAATCTCCATCCAGGAGTCTT